TTGTCTAGTTTTTAACGTTATCAAAAATTTACCTCGTTACTTAATTATCGTACAAATACAGCATCTATAAAATTATTTTCTAGCAACTGTTATTTATCGTTGCTCCGGAACAGAGATATGCCACTTTTTCGCCAGTTCAATATTTTTCTCCAGAAGATTTATTTCTTAGAATTGAACTTTGCTGTTCAATCTCCGCTTTCCTGCGCGTAATTACTTTTTTTCTGAAATCTACTCTCTGAACATCTTTTCCATTAACGTTTGCTAATTGACTCCTACAGTCCTATTGCTTAAATACCTTTTCACCTACCATGTAATTTTCCCACTGAGACAAATGATGATAAATTTGAAAAATTCGCGATCTCTCTTTCGATTTGCACGCTCCAATTTTATCTCGTCTTTGTGAATCTCCGCGATGCGGAAGAAACGTGGTGAAGCGTTCACGCGTTCACCTGGAACATTGGATTCCTAGGAGGATCCATTATAACGTCCCCAAGCCGTTACGTTTTCGTCGTTTATTATCCGTGTCGTGTATCGGAAGAATCTAGCGCGAATAAGTCTAAAAACGATCGCAAGTACGATTCAGAAATCGAAGAAAAAGAGATCCGCGTCTCTCTTCGACACATAGGATATCAATGGACGAATTGCTTATTGCGAAAGTCGTGGAATACCAGAGGGATTTCTCTTCTCTTGCTTGGGTGAAAAAGCAGCTCAAGGCGACGCCCGCGTATGCAATTGCAATCGCGTAATCGGGAACGTGCTTGTATATAGCAGATGTGGTTCTTTCGATTTTGATCTCTATTTCGTCGGTTTCAATAGTGTTCAGTCCCTTGAAGGATATAGAAATGATTCATTGAACCATACCTTCAGAAAGGTATAACGAACATTATTGCGAACGAATGTTATCCTTTGGTTATGACATTTCACTTGTTTCTTAACCTACATCGTATTTCATATATCTTGGAGCCTGAAGTTCTTTTTATTGCGAATCATTACAGGAATTGTAATTAGATGGCTCGTGTCATGTTCTCAGACGAAGATTGTTAACGTTGTAGATGCTGGCTCGTAATATACCACACGTGGATGATTACAGTTAAAGCAGCGCGATGAAAATAAGTGTTTCTATCTTCACAAAAATCAACATCAATCTGAAAGTAGCTCCATGTTTTTAGTAACTGCGAAATCAAAAGAGGTGGAATTTGTCGTTTGATTAGCGTTGAATTCAGCAGCGAAATTCGCTCGTAAAGGCAAGACGATAAATACGCTCTTCTTTTTACATCAAGTTTCTTAATTCTTAGGTTCCGTTTCTTAATTCTTTGAATTCTATAGAACTCTGTCAAAAGAAAGAAACCTTATTCATCCGTTCGTTCTTCGTTAATTTATTCTTTATTTAACTGTTCATTGCGCCAAATTGATGATAAGCCAACGGTCAAAAATTGACGATGACCGAACGAGATGACATCCGGTTATCCAACCGGTGGCCACTTCTCGGTAGTCCATCTATCGAGATCGACGTACTCTCATGGTTCGAGGTCATCCTCGTCCAGGTGCATTGGGTCAGCTGGTCGACTTCGTGTCGCCCTTCTTTCTCCGACGATCTGGCCTCAGGCCAACTGGGGCCGTTTCGCAGTCGCTGCCAAAGGGGGCAATGCTGTTGCTCAATGATCGACAACGATCATGCTCATCGATCCTTCATGAAGGAAATCCGCGTCTCATGAACAAAACGAAGAAAGTTTGTTACCTGTGTCGAAACCATAACAGTTTCCTTTAGAACGATCTCAGCATGAAATTGGAAGTATCCTCTCCAGTATCGCGGAATTACATACTTTTTTACTTCGAAAGATAAAAAGTTCTCTGGATTTTCGGAGAAATTAATACTTTCATAAGATTAATCGTATCGTTAAAATTATAAATAAAGGAAATGTAGGCAATATTCGACACAATCGAAACAAACAATTTATTTATGAATATTCATATAGAGAATGCTTTAGTGGGTTAGTATATAAAAAAGTATAATGCGGCAAATGATAGAAGTATTCAAATCGCATGAAAAGTAATATTGGAACGTGGTCTTCTCATTAACGATGTAAGGAAGCAACCAGGCGAATTAATGTGGTAATCTAGAGTAATTATCCTTTGTAATTACATAAGCGTACATAAATGGGCAATTATAATAGATCGCAGCAGAATGTATTATCATTTTTCGTATAAATACAATCTCTTTATTATTTTATTTCCATCGAATTCATTCTTATGCAGTTTTCTAGAGAGCTAACTAACTATGAAATCGTTTTCATCGTTATACCAATGGTTTCGTGAAGTATCGGCCGAATGAATTCGCGGAGATCGTTAAGAACCGAGTAGTTGGCAATTAAAGAAATCACTGATCGATCTCGTTCGACAAATACGTATCGTCAGTAGCCAGGGTTTCGTAATCATGTGCCGTAATACCGAAGGATAGCTTACACGCTCTGTTTACCGTAATATTGTGGACATTGTAACGTTGTAATATAGGAGCTCGAGTATAAATGCAAACCGCTCAAAACGCTTGTAGAAAAAGTTTCAGTGAAACAATTGTTATCGTCGATCAGAAAGAATCGGCTAGCCATATTGCTTGCTCGAACGATATCAACATATGTAGAATCGAGTTTTATTCATTTTTAATATTATTTAATCTTACAACATGTACGTAGGTAACATGATATTTAAATCTTTGTCTTTGTTTATCTGTAAAAGATGCAATGTTTATATAGCAAGTTTTCACGTGCGTCGATAATTAAATTAAATTAAAATAATTAAAATTATTAATTAGATAACAATTTAATCCGCATTACAACGAACAACGAGGAATTTTTCGAGCCGATTGCAGTAGAGTTTTCAAGAAACCGCTAGAACATTTCATAATATATATCCAGGATCTTTGGAAATCAATAATTAATCGATTATCTCTCCAATAAGAGAATTCATTTCGTTTCAAACGAAGCTGAACATTCAATAATTCTTCGAAAATTGTCAAGTTTCGTTTCTACATCCGTTACAAGAATCCGGAAAGTATCAGAAACTCGATAATCCAAGAAATTATTTCTGCATGAAATTGCCAGCCATAAATCCTGCCTCGACGAACAAATTCCCCGACTGATCCTACTTAACAGTGACGTAATAGCGATTCAAATAGCGCTAAAAGTTAACGGCGATCCAATGGAACAGGTGAGAGAGGTAGTAGAACAGGCTGGGTCGCGACTATAGCCATTCAAGACCAACGAAATTCTGCGAAATCGGTGAACTCGGCAAATCGAGTATATCGAATGAATGAAACACCAGCGTGGAAAAGAATCCGCTTGATCTCAGATGACGCTGGATCCTGCAGGTGTACCACGACACGACGATGAAAAACAAGCCGACTGTCTGGATTTTTCCTCGACTCGTTTGGTCCAAGAATGTTCGAAACAATGGCGGTGAAATCGCTTTCGATCGAATTTTCGGTGAATATTAAGATTTCGAATCATTTCCTGGTGGAAAATTTTTGTAATGGTGATTTAGGATTTCGTATTTAAGATATTAGAATTTGGAATCGTCAGGTTGCAAGATTTTTTAATAGGTATCTCGATTAATTTCGATTTCATATTTTTGAGACTTTGGTTCAACACAGGGTTTGACAATCAGCCGATGTGAGTGGTAAAGTAAAGTAGATTATCTATTATTTTATAATCTTTTTGTTTAAAAATTCCGAATTCACAAAATTTTGTGTCCATGCTTAAATCCTACAAAAGTCGTAAACGATTTTTACGTATATCGTTATACCAAACACTATACTTTACTTTCATCGGCACAGTCAGGAAGAAGAAGAGAAGAAATGGATTAAAAGAACTTACTTTCAGTTTCATAATGAACATCTATACTGGCCTATTTTCCTCGACAGTATATCGATGCGTTTATGTAAAACAAAACGACCAAGTGGAAAAGCCTCGTGCGGTACGTCGCGCGTGCGAAGGTTTCCAGTAGATTTAGCCGGTGTGCACGTGGCACGAACCGAGACGGAAGGGGAAATATTCTCGCGAGAAGAAGAAAGGAGTCGGTCAGATAACTGTACGTCGCGGCCTCTGGACGACATCTTCAGCATCGTCGAAGCCTGGGACCTCTTCTCCTCTCATTCCCATACGGATACAGTATGTGCCTTATACAACGATTCCCGATTTGATCTTTGGTCTTCGTTCAACACACGCTTGGACGTCGTCTAGTCTTTGTCTGTTGGCTGGTTTACTTACTTACCGGCATCGTGCAATTCGAGGTCTTAGTCTAAAACAACCGGTACACTTTGCCGTCGGTTGTTTTCCAAGAACGACACCTCAATGGCATTAAGTCGACACCGTACGACCATTGTCTTCCGTTTACGAGATTATTAGTTTTTCTTGCGTTTTTTTACAATTACGTAAATAGAATAGAGCGAGAAATGAATGGAAGATAATATTAAAGTACGATATTTCTTTGATTTTAATATACCAATTTTGCATATTCATGTTTTATTTACCGATTGTTCTGCATTTACGTATATGTATTTTTTGTTACGACATATTTGTGACGCGTAGTTGCTCGTTTCTGCGCGTTTAACAACGTGACATCGACCGAACGTTAGATTGATCAAACATAATTTCTCGAGCAAACATCATCGTTCACCACCCACCGCTTCTTCTCCTACGGGTGCTATTAAGTGTCCTTGATGAATATATCGAACGCGTAAACTTTTCAGAATCGGGTAATCTGTTACAGAAAACAAAATTGACATATTCTGATCGTAATAATAAATATAATATGCCTAAAATTTCTGTAATGCTGGCAAAATAAGTATAGCATTACTAAAATTTGTACGAATTTACACGAAGACTCGAATCTCTTTAAAGGCAATCAACATAATACGTATGATACGATATAATAAAGATAAATTCTAATATTATGTACAAAAACTTATTTCTCATGAAAATAATCAAGAAATTGTTTATTTACAGATGTAGGATCGCTATCAGAAGTGAGAGCATCTAGGATAGAAAGGGATCTGCAAGGTGAGCGTTTCACCCTCTCAGCGTGCCTGTCTTGCATCCAACTCATGTCTGTTTTCTCCAATAGAATTTCGCTCGAACACAGACTTCGTAGCCTGAAATTAATACATTTCATCAACCTTATTATTCGATAGTTACATTATTCGCGACGAGTACCACGTTCGAGCGTAATTCTATCGGCAACAACGATTCTCTCTTTCGCTTTCCTCTCTCGTCTCCGCTGTCTGGCCTTTCTCTTCTCACAGTTAAAACCGATCGTTCTGTCTCTAAAAACTTGCATTGTGCGTGTCGACGCGAGGTGCGGCCGTGTACATAATCAAAAGTTATACTTATTTCGAAATACATACATGTTTCTATCTGTCTATGTGTCTTTTCTTTATTTTTCTTTTTTTTCTCTTTTTTTTTTGTAATACTTTGTCTTTAATTCTACTTTGTTCCCTTCTCTCACGTACATGCCACCTTGCGTTACGTTTCCGTGGGTAAATGGGCTCAAAATCGCTGACCAACGACTCACAGAAAATACAGTTTGTTACACAAGATCGAAGATGCAATATCTCTTTGTGCAAACTAAGTGCTTTCGTAAAAAGCTTTAGACAGATTAAAAGTAATTTAACAAAATGAATAGCCTGTTGCTCAGTTTCTATCGAACCAGGTAAAATTATTTCTCGAGTTATCGTTATTACAGTACGGGTCGCGTAAAGTTGTCTTTCTCGAATACGAAAAGTAGAGTGAGTGCAATATGAAACTACCTTCAGCAATTTATCACTGTCTAATCATGGCGAATCGTCGAACGCTAGAATTGCAATAATTTATAATTTTCCACAGAAAATTTGAGGTAATCGAACCACTATTGAAAACATATCTTAAATTTATTTAGAGCTTCTTACAAACAGAATTATTTTCCACAAAGGAGTATCGCGTCCAGGATCTCGTATTACAGACTGTATATAGTCTCGAGGGATTTGACAATCAATCTAAGAAAACGATTCGAAAGAAGAAAGAATAAAACCAAACAGTAAACAAAAATGAGACAAGTATATCAACAATGAACACGATTATAGATACATAGAAGAAACTTCCACTATTCGAAACGTGAAATTCGTTTCACGGTTCGCACGGACCCATAAATCGAGCACGAATTAGACACGGCTTCATTGTGACCGAGCAAAACACAGATCCTCTGTAACTCCCTTTCAAGTCCCTCGAGCTGTACATATTATATTATATATACATAATACCGATACTGGACAACTTTTGAACGTCTGGCGCGCCTCTTATCGTCGTTTCCCTGCGCGCATTGATTCACGGAGTCCCGTTTCCGGTAGCACGAAACGGAACGAAACGAAACGATATGATTCGGGCCCGTGAACAGTGCGCCGATCGGAAATCGATACTCGTGGACAGAGGGTAGAGAAACGGGGACGTAGCAGGTTGCTCTCTATAGTCTATATACCAACAGGATGACTCGTCCACTAAGATCGTCTGTCTCTTTTTTTTCTGTTTCTGTTACTGCTCCCGCCTGCTCCTCGCCTCTTCAACTCTTCTCAACAACTGGATGCCGTCTGCCTCCAACGTCCGCCCGCCACTCCGTCTCTCCGACGACCTACATTATCTAAAACTAAAAATACAAATAATCAAACCAAACAAACCAACAAATATATCTATATAACTATATATATGTACACATATGAACGAATGAAAAACCGATTGGCCGAACTGATTAATTAATACTGACGATAATTGCGACTGTTGAATGACTTAAACGAATTTACCACATGACTTGGACGATTCTCTTGTTCTCTATTAATACAATTATATATGGATAATCGATCAATTATAACGGTCACCGAAACACGTGCTCCTCGTGCGGCGATTGTCCCCGGTGTTTCTGAATGATCCTAAAATCCTCCTGACTCGTTCCATACTCGATGATCGTCCTCAGGTGTTACCACGGTCCTCCTAGTCTCGGCTCGACCCGGTAAATCCATTCCTCCGGTCGGTCTATTAACGAAAACCGCCCGAACCTTCGTCCAAGATGGAGCCAGCACGGAGTTCGCTACTCAGGTACTCGGTACCACGTTGGACAACGGTCGTCTGTACGCTAGAATATTATCTACGTCTAGCAGAGTATTCTACGATAAGGAACCAGCACCAGATTCACCTACACCTTATGTGGTTTATCCCTCGAGAACCTCTGACGACGATTGGCAGCTGAAAGTAGCTCTCGACAATGCGCCCATCAAAGCATTAAGGGATATCGAAGAATCTAAATTGGAGGAAAATCAGGAGAGAGATTCTGGGAATCAAAGTAGCGAAGGAAAATCGTCAACGAAATTGGACGAGTTATCCAGGGAGAATGATATATTTAGCAGAAGAGAATTAGGGTCAGATTCGCAGAGATTCAAACCTGCTAAGGTCAGGCCAGCGGATAATCTTCCTACGTACACTGTTACTCATGAATATGTCGCGAACAATTTTGAAGACGATCAACCTAAGAGTTTCAGACCTCGAGTGCCTAAAATCTTTAAACCTCAGCCAAAAGCTCCTTCTACACTCAAGAAATTAGACATAAAGCCTCTGGCTACTGTAACGTACCATGGTTTCGCTGAATTCACTACGACTGTAGGCGAAACTGTCATAGTTTTCTCTCCAAGTACGTCACCAGCTCCAGTCGGTCGCCCGGCTACTACGATCAAAGGAGATGCGACCTTGAGACCTGACGACGGAATCGCAGTAGTAAAGATCAGACCAACCAGCGTAGTCACTGGTCAAGAGAAGACCAAGCAACATCCTGGACGTAAATCTGATCCAAAAAGCGAAACAGGCGATCCTTTGTTAGACGCCATTAACAGAGCTAATATTCAGCCAAGTGTCACCGAAGATTTCGAAGTAGAATCTTCAACAACATCTACAGAGCCTCTTCTTTTAATACCAGATGTCGAAACTGGCTCGTTAAAACCTACAGGACTTCTAAAAGTTGTAGACTCTACTACTTCCCTTGATGGCACTACCACTCACTATAAGAGTTTAATTTATGGAACATACATTGGTACAAATTACGCTCAGATTATACATACGTCGTCGAACGTGTACTTTTTCCCTGACGAAGCCACTGCGACTTACGATGCCGAAGATACTACCGTAGATTATGGAACGACTGCCACTGAAGAGCCTGAACATGAACAGGACACTACATTAGAAATAACGACTGGTACTACACCAAGGGTAATTGCTACGAGCGAGGAATCTCTTCCAGAAATGAACGAACTGACCACTCCTATTAAAGACACCACTGATAGCGTATTAACGACCTTGAAAGATATTTTGGAGAGTGCTAGAAGAGTTCTTGGTACCACGGAATCGGCTGCTCCAACGTTAGATGATGAAATTCCTAATGATATTGTTCCTGGGGACCCTCAAGGTCGTAGTATCAAGGGTGGCAGCTCGAAGAACGATCTTGGTCATCAGAATCACAAGGAGCACGAATTTGAGCAGGAAGGTAAGATTACTTTGGCTACCAGGCTACTTCCTTCCACAGTGTATAAGACGTTCACTTACTTCACTACTTTCTTCGTACCGAAAGGCGATGAAACTACAACTTCCGTTATTTCTAATGAAGTAGTGTCTTCCGACGTTACCTATCTGACAGAGTTGATTCTGCCTAGCGAAACTGCGTCTCCGATTCTTCAAACGACGTTGCCTGAACCTGTGACGACAAGGACAGCTCCTGTTTCGATCACTGCGTTGGAAGAAGAACAAACAACGAAGCAGGATGAAGAGATAGAGCTGATATTCAAGACCCTGTACACTACGTATACTTATCTGACGACGTACTTCCAAGAAAGCACTTCGAGTATTTCTAGTAGAGAAGTCGTTGAAACAAATGTGATTACTCAGACTGTTGGACCTAATGGAGTATCTGCAGTGGTTGCTGGATTGTTTGAGAAGGATGAGTCCAGTTTGATATCACCAACCAAAATTTCGGATAAAATTTTGCCTTCGACTACTCCTGAACATGAAGAAGGAACTGAAAAGTATCCAACGACTATGGAACAAACGACAGAAGACATTCTTACCACGTTGCAAGAACAAGATACTACTACTGATCAGAATATTCCAACAGAACCGGGAACAACTGTTAAGGAATTTGAAGACACCAAACACACGATACCTGATATTGAACCAAGTCCAACTCCAGCCTTACCCACTCAAGAAGTAAAGGAACAGATCAAAACTTATTATACAACTTACACTTACTTCACCACAATCTTTGTTGATGATGAAACAGAGATTGAAACAAGGACAGAGGTGTTCACCAATGTAGTCACTGAGACCATTCAACCAACAGCTGTGGTGCCTGTTATTCAAGAAACAGAGCGACCAACTACACCCAGAGAGGAACCAGCCAATAAACCAGCCGTTCCACCGGAGATCTTGGCCTATTTGGAAGCCATTCAGAGACAGAAGTCTCAAGAAGAAGCGCTCCTTCTTGCCAAAAGGGTACAACAACAAGGAAACAGTAAAACTGAGGAAACCACGAATGCGCCTGAAACTAAAGAAACTACGACAGAGGATTCAGACACTTTGGAAGAACAATCGACTACAGAAAATTTGTTTCGCGGTTTCGAAGTGAACGCGCAAGTGACGCCAAATCCACCAATGGAAGGCGAAATCTTGGGCTCTATGATCACTGATGTCGTATCTTCTTCCAGTGCTGGAAGTGGCACCGTTCTAGACGTGATGGATAAAAGAAACGCAGTTCCTGAAGACCAGGAGCTTTCAGAATCTAATCATCACGACGTAGAGCCAGCACCAACTCTTCTACTTCAAACAAGTTATACTACCTTTACTTATTTTACAACGATGTACAAAGGTGACGAATCTAACATAGTTAGCCGTCTAGAAACAGTTACAAATGTAGTCACAGAGACAATTAGGCCAACAGCTGTGATCCCTGAAGAAACGAGCACACTGCCAGTTACGTATTTCACGACGTTCACTTATTGGACTACATTCTACAGAGGAGGCGACACTGTCACTACCAGTCGAGAAGAGACTGTCAGCAATGTTATGACACCGGGTGTAGCACCTACGCCTACCGTAGAGTTAGGCGTGATCATGACTTACAGACCAACGACGACAAACATAGAAGACAGCCAATCTAGCGAAAAAGAATCCAAAATCACTGCCGACAATGAAGTGACGCCCTCAGTCGTCGTTCCTATTGAAAATTCGAAAGCTGAGGAATCAGAAACTACAAGTTCCAAAGATATTACTACTCCATCTTCTGAGAATGTTCTACAATCAACTACAGTTTCACCTGAACCTACCACTTATTATACTACTTACACATATTTCACGACTTCTTACATTGGTAATGAGACTATTTTGAATAGCAGATTGGAGACTGTCACTAGTGTCTCTGTTCCTGATGTCCTTGCAACTTCACAAGTGGCAACAGGAAGAGCAATTGATGGATCAGTGTTTAAACAAACTTTAGCCACCGAAGAGAAACCAGTCATTCCCGCAAAACCTACTGAACTTCCAAAAATTGGTTTAATCTCGACGATCAGGTCAAGTCAAGTAAATGATGGAACCACTACTCATTTTATGACTGATGTTCATGGTACATATATCAATGGATTGTACGCTCAGGTTGTAGAAAGCTCGACAAGAGTAGAGACACCGCCTCTGCCTTCGTCCGTAGTTACTCCAGTCCTACCAACAGGAATTTTATCGATGAACAAGGGTATCGTGGTAGACGCCGATGAGATTACTACTATTTATTTTACGACGAAGCAGATTGGAACTTTGTTTGATGGTCTTTATGCGAAGGTTATCGAAAGTACTTCGAGTACGAAGATTAACGAAGAGAGGAAAGCGACTATTTTACCTACTCAAGGTCACAGAACTGGTTTGGTTAGATTAATTCAAGGTCAAATTGCGAATAATGGAACTACGACATTCTATCAATCTAAGGTGATTGGAACCAGCATCGAAGGTAGATACGCTCAGATCATAGAAAGCACATCCAGTTTTCTATCTTCGACTCCAACGGCAAACATCGCGCCTACTTCCACTCTGCCACCTGGCAAACCAACTCAAATCGCAGAAATCTCACCTTCGCCTGCTGTCATTCAATCTTCCTTATCGGAAGACCCAACGACGGAATCCCCGGAACAAGACGAAGACTCAGAACAGAATGAGGAGAGTGAAGAAGAGGATGAAGAAGGGGAAGATGGACAAAGTTCCAAGAAGAAATCTAGACTGACCTTTTCTACTAGAAAAAGAACTTTCACTCCAGTGATCAGACCATTCGCCTCCAGAAACAGACCCACGTTTAATCCCAAAAGAAAGGGTGCTCAGGGTGCAACGACGATTACCAGAACAGACATAACACCCACAATAACTGCGACCTTGGCTGGAAAAGGAAATAGATTCGCATCTTCTAGAGGTCGAGTCAGTTCACCAATAGGTCCATACTCTTCTACGTTGTCTCAGTCAGGTTCTAGGAGGTTCTCAGGAAGAAGAGGTTCACCAAATACAGCTAGTAGTTATGCATCAACTATAACTGGAAGTACCAGAGGCAGAGCTCAATCTAGAATATCTCCATCCTCTGTTTTCCAAGGAAACAGAAGAGGACCTACGTCGATTAGAGGATCTTCAGCCAGAGTTGCATCTCGTGCCTCAAGCTCAGTTTATCCTGGAGTCTCTACTAGATATAGATCACCAATCAGACCTTCGTCTACCTTGTCAAGAGGTCAGGCTACGGTTAAACACGACGACCAGGAGAACGATGCTAATGAATTCACTACGACTACGTTGGTGACCGAGGAGACGCCTTATACAGAGGATATAGAGGATGGAGAGACCGTGACGACACCTTTGCAGACGACCACAGAGTCTTCGAGAAGATCCACGAATCCCTTACTCAGATTCCGTAGACCTATTAACTTGAATAATTCCGGCAGAACTGGTACTACGCCGAGACCGCCAACGACTACACGGAGAAATGGAAATTTAAATAGAGCCACTTCGCCAACTGTTCCTAAAGTGACTAATACGAGAACCAATGGAAGGGTAAATGCTCCAATTTCAACTAGACCAAGACAAGGTGGCACGGGGTTATTTCCGCCTCGAGGTCTACTTGGGAAAAAGCCGGAATTACCCATCGAGGAACAGATAGAACCAAATGAAGATCTAGAAGAAGAAGGAGAAGAGAATTTGGAGGACGAGCCTGTGGAAGAAATAGCTGACAATGATTACGAAGGATCTGAGCATGAAGATAGAATCAATCGTCGGTCTGGAAAATCTGTCAGACCCACTGTACAGATCAGGCCGTTTAACAGAGCACGAAGAATACGTCGACAGGCGAGTCAGTTGAGATCTTTGACCAGTCGATTCAGAAGACCTAGTCAGAGCTCGTCGAAGTCCGAAGAAAAATCTGACGCTAGCGAAAACGTGTCTAGCAAAGAGGAGACTTCCAAGTCTAGTTCCAAACCTATTGCTCGGTATAACAACCGTGCAAGGTCTCTTACAGCGACTAGACCAACGTCCAAGTCTAATAATCCTGAGAAAACATCTGCAGAGTCTACAGAGTCGAGTCAAAATAAAAATAGGAATAGGTCTAAACAATCTAATAATGGAGACAGAAACGTTGCCTCCAGAATAAAACCTTCTTCAACTTCAAATAATGGTAGACAGTTTACTTTAAGAGAAAAAGATGGATCTTCTTCTACCAGGACGAATTACAAAAGACCTAGTTCTTCAAATTCCAGGACAAATGGAAGATCGACTACTACTACTAATTCAGATCGAGTAAGGCCTCCACGATTACGAAACGGTTCCAATAAATCGTCAGAGAATACCAGTACAAGACGAACACCTCCTTCTAGTCGCACTTCCTCGAATAGATCCTCCAATAGAAATAGCAGCAGAAGAGGTTCTTCTAGTAGATCAAGAGGATCTCTAGAAGATATCCGAGAAGCACCTACCGTGTATCCTGACTTCGATGGAACGATCACAGTGACTCATTACGTGCCCACGGAAGTTACTATTCCCGTAGTGAACAATGGTATCACAGAGCACAGGAACATAATAACGGCACAACCCAGTACAGAGATTTTAAGTCCATCTCAGTATAGTACAGTGACAGGTGGAGACGGCAAGCCGTTAGTGGTGATTGTTAGCGAGGTAACCGGTACCAATCCTCAAGGTCAGACCGAAGTAACCCGATTCCTGCTCCACGAGACGCCCACCACTCGTGTCTCCCACACATTAACCACACTAGGTGGTCGTAGAGCCTCTCAATCCGTAATTGTACCCACCACAGTCTATTCTGTAGAGAACGTGGTCTCCACGGTGCAACCTTCTCTCCCTGGAAATGCGCCTCTCGCGAACATCCTTCTATCGCAGTTGCTCCTCGGTCAATTAGGTCAGGCAAACCCTCTGCTGCAGTCTCAAGGTACACCGTCTACTCAGTATAATACGCGTACGACTTCGTACGTTACTACGATCACTAAGCAGCAGAGTACCGTGATCCCACTCACTTTCCGGGGCAAGGAGATTCTAACAACCTTGGTGGATACTTCGACAGATGTGGTGACTGCTACAGAGTTCATCACGGATACAGTGGTGGTTACACCTACTGCAGCGTTGCCAGCGGCGAATTTGAACTCATTGTTACTGTTACTTCAGCAGCCTCAACCACAAAAGAACGCTAATCCTTTGCTGGATCCTTTGTTCGCTGCTCCTCCATTCACTCAGAGCAATACTTTGCCTGGAGAGGTGGAGAGAAGGCATCAGCCAGCTGACTTGGATTATAAACACGATAATTATGAGTATTCCGACGAAGAAGATGACGTTCAGGAGTATCAGAAGCCTTCCAGGTCTAGAAATGGTCGCGGTAAAGCGAACGATAGGAAAGAGGATCATTCTAGTGCGGCTAGAGAGGAATCTAGCGTAGTGACATTATACGTTTCTGGGAGACGGCCAGGAGAGTTCAGTACTGTTTTGAGCACCGTGAAAGTAAGCGACACGTCTCGAAGACGACGAGACACCGGGGAAGATTTAGTCGTTGAGGTTCGACCCTCGATCCCACCGTCGTTGCACGAGGGATCGGAAGACATCACGGTTCTGGCGGGAAGTGTGGACTCGCTAGAAGCGCATGCGCCGACACAAAGTCTCGAGAGCGTAGTGGGTGACGTAGGACGGCACATTTCCACGTCCATCCACACCTAACCCTCAAATACACACACTTTAGATAATCCTTCCCCTCTTCTACTCTTAACTGTTGTCATTCGATTAATTAATATGTAAGCCCATCTACGAGATCCATTATGAGAAGCCCACCTAGACCGAAGCTGATGACCTTTGATGAACCTTTCGCGGGTTCGTATTTTGTGTGCATTTTCGTGCAGGAATTCCACAACAATCACGATATACATATGATGTACCATAGATCGAATTCTTCCGGAGGATTGTTCACGGAAGAAAGGAAGTCCTTCGTGAAAGAAGAAAAATAAAGCTCGCAGCTTCGGTTGATCGACAATGATCCATCATTCTATCATGCCCATCTCACGCCCTGTTCGCTCTTCCCCAATCTTTCTTCTTTTTATCTTCCCTCCGATTCTATCCTTTGATATGGTCCTCCACTGGTCCAGTCTACTAATACAGCCTCGAATCCGCCGCCGCACGCGCGCCCACACGCGATAAAGTCTACACGCGACGCATGGTACTCTCTTTGTCTCTGGTATTTGTCGGATCGACGCGATTTTGCCCATGGATCGCGTGATAGATCGATAACACCCGGCTCTACTAAGTGCACGAAAACGAACAAGGGTGGGATGTGTCTGATACACGATGATCTGTCTTGTTGTTTAACCCCACCTCGGATGATTCGCCTAACACTCGAGACGAAACCCCCGCCTGTTGCTCACGGCTGCCCTACATTTGCTGTAACTCACACACACATGCCCTGAATGTACTCCATGGCGAAGGATCACAAGTGCGTGCACGCAAGCGAGAGACACGTCGCCTTTTCAGATGACTACTACCACGACGACTTCTACCGACTAACCAGCGACTTCGCTAGCAAATCGCCCCGAGAGAACGCTAGGAATCTCGCTCCAGAGATTAACGACGATTACCTCGAAGAAACGCCCAGAAAACGCGTCAGAATTCGCGTCCCTGTGGTCAGAAAGAGTGGAAGGCAGCATAAGCTAACGGTAGTCAGAAGATTGCGTCCTATTTCGTCCAAGATTGAGAATCCTGCTCAGAATCAATTGACTGTGGCGAGTCATACGCCGCGGAGGATCGTGGTGACTAGAGTGAGGTCATTGGGATTAGCTAACACCATTCACAATGATTTGGAATCTGATAGTGTCAAACCAGAGATTGGAAGACATAAAGTGACTATTACTAGACGTAGAAAGATTGCGTCGACTACCGTTTCGCCTGCGAGCAGCGAAAGAAGAGTAAGAATCACTAGAAAAAAATTGGTCGCTGTTAGACCGCTACAACCTACGCCTAGTTTCGCTATTATCACGACTGGATTCTTCACTGCCCCATCTTCTGAATACGATGAAGAGTTCTCCGAGGAGAATGAAGGTGAAGAAGAGGTGAACGAAGAAAGTGTTAGTTCGACTGCCACACCTGAGTTAAAGGAACCGCCCGATGTTATCGATAGCAAACCGGATGATGTTGAGATTGAAAGTAAGGAGGATGTTAGTTCGACAGATATCCCTGAATTGAAGGAACCTCCTAATATAATCGATAAGAAACCGGATGAGGTTGAGATCGAAAGTAAGGAGGATGTTAGTTCGACAGACACGCCTGAGCTAAAGGAATCTCCTAATATAATTGATAAGAAGCCAGATGAGATTGGAACTATGACCGAGGAAACTGAACCGAAAGTTATAGAAGAGAGTAGTGTGAGTTCACCTGTCATTATCACTGATAATTTCTTCCTCCCTGCGTCTGACGATGAGTATGAAGAATACGAAGATGAATATACCGATACCACGACTGAAAGTGAGAAGAATGATTCTGAGAATGAAGATATTCTAACGACGACTAAATCTACGAAAATTGAGGATGGTTTGAATAAAGAGGACACTTCAAGCATGTCTGCAGCTCCTGATTTGTCAGAGAAAGAGGAACCAACGTTAGAAAAGCCCGAAGAAGTTTCACATAGTGTCGCTGATCACGAAAGTACAGAGTCAACTAATTTGAAAGAAGAAGAGGAATCTGAGTCTTTGACAACTGAAAAGTCAATAGAAGAAGGAGAAGAAATTACTACGACGCAGATGAGTTTTGAAGAAAAATCAGAAGAAGTTGGAACGACTGTTTATCCTGAGATTAATGAAGATGAGAAAGAGGATGGGGAAGAAGACCGTACAACGACAGAAATGATAGAGACTACGACATTTATGGAAGAAACGACAGTGATTAGTGTTCCTGAAGAAGTACAGACAACTACAGTTTCTGATAAAGAGATTACAATAATCAATGAGGAAGAAGAACATAGTAGTACTGAACACCCTTCGCTGCCTAGTGAATTTAAATCGGAATCTGAAAATTCTTCAAACGAAGAATCACTCGAAAAAGATATTGAAGCTCACGTTGCAACTATTTCACCTGAACCTGAAGACATTTCACTGAAAGACAGTGAAGATTCCCTCGAGAAAGATACAAAATCAAATACCACCATAATCGAAATTGATCCCAAGGAATCTATATCAAAAGACTCTGAAGATCCTGTCAAAAAAGAGATCGAACCCCAAGTCACGGTGATTCAAACCAAATACGAAGACTCTCCCAAAGTCGAAGACGTTCCCAAAATTGAAGACGTTCCCAAAATTGAAGACGTTCCCAAAATTGAAGACGTTCCCAAGAAAGACCCTAGTATCCACCCTAGTATCACACTCGACCCAAGTTCAAAGCCAGAAACTGAAAGATCCTTCCCAGACATGATAGATATCACTACCCTGAAACAGGTTCCAGAAACCACACCAAAACTCGAGGAAAATGAAGAGAACCTGACAGTGCAGCCCATACCATCGATTACCGAAATCATCTCGTCTGCTACGACAATTTTCTTCGACGAGTACCCCGATTTCACCAGCGTCCTGCCTTTAGAAACGTCCCAATCGACGTCGTACGACTCCAGTACCCTTAGCTACTTGGATAACTCCGAGATCCCAAGCGTGATTCCCCTAGGAGTCGAATATACGTCGTTGTCAGACTCGAAGAGGACCTCGATGGTTCTCGAGACGACGTCCAGCATTGACTCGGTAACGACGTCGATCTCGTCACCGACCCCCGAGGAAATCGAGGCAGGATTAGCCGACGATCTTTATTTGTCCCTGTCGAGGCCTGATTTCCCTGAGATACTGCCATCGAAACCGGTTCACGTGGAGCACGAGACCAGGTCCGAAACACCAGATTTAGAACCGAGCACGAGCATTTATTATACAGAGACAGTGGTGACATCGACGAGACTTAGGACGTATACGTACGTAGTGACGCAACTGAATGGACTGGAGACGAAAGTAACGTCCTCGACGACGGTCCGACCGAGAGTGACGACGCTTACATTGACGGTGCCCGTCACGGTGACTGTCACTCCTACCGTGGAGTCGTCAGCGCACGCCGTTTCGTCTGTGTATAGCCCGGTGCCCGCTGCTGGTGAGTAGCTACAACTAGCTCTGCGATAAGCCTTCTCTATCCACGATCTTCCAGTGTCCTGAACTGATTCGTAGTACTTTTAGAACTCTTTTTGCGATCTTTCAAAGATTTCTTTACTATTTTTTCCTATTTTCTCTTCCCACTTTTTTTTGGAATTGTTGATGCATTACCAACGTAATGAAGAATAGTGGTGCGTAGAAATAAAAAATGAAGATCATGAATATGATTTTTCTAAAATCTGTATTTAACGCCTTGCCAATTAAAGAGAATTGGAAGATTTTTGAATGTATGTAAAAATTTGAAGTGAAAATCGTGACTGTGATTTTTCGAAAGTCACTATAAAAAATTGATTTTTGAAATTATATAGAAGTAGAAAAAGTTATTTTATAATATAATGTAAATGAAAGATATTTTGTAAAATATTGACGATGTGTTAATTACAAAAAATGTACATGTACAGAAATAACAAAGGTATACGATGTAACAACGAGATAATCGAGTTGAGTAAATTCTGAAATCATAGAACTGATAATATTTGAAGAACAATTTGTTCAGGACACTAGCCGATCGATGTAAAAAGTAATATTCTTCTTTAGACTAATATGATATCTTTTCTCGCGCGCCTAGCACGTTCGAGACTGTACAGACGCTCTTCCGAGTCTCACTTGGATTGGCTTATGGCAATCTAAATTGTTTTCTGTACAATAGAACTCTTGAGTGAACTGTACATACTTGTAAATGAAGTCTGATCTTGTACATACTACAATTCCTTATCGTTTGTTTTATTCCTGTAGTCTATTCTGTATATTTTTTGTTTCTTCTAAAACACGTTTTAATCGTGTACAGTGACCGTTTATGTTCTAACGCCTGAATAACCGTCGCCAGTCAACAGATCCGCCGTGAAGAGCATAATTATTCAGGCGTACATATACTCTCTTGTAAATCTTCTAAGTTATTTCACGTTTATTTCAGATGTATTTATTTCTATTGTATAAGTAGCTAAATAATAATTTTACATTGTCGAAGTGGAAGTTTTAATATTCATTTATCACATCGTAATCTTTTGATCGTGGAATTGTAACGACAGGAGAGCACGAAGGGAAAGATGAAGAAGGTCGAAGGTTAAACCTAGCCACGCGTGTCATGTCAAACGGAGTCGAAGTGATCGTTGCTGGACCAACGCCAGCATTACGATGGGAGAACTCGGTGCCACAGCCTACGCTGACATTGTCCGATGCTGTCGTCATGATGCTTCCACAAGATAAACCGAATGAATTTGTCACTAAGACATGTACCACTACCTTCACGTACCTTACTACCATTACGAAAGACGGGACAACTATCGTTTCAACGGAGCAGCAGGTAGAAATACAATATTGTTGGACGTTCTTCACTTTTTTATTTCATTACATTCCCGCGCCTTTTTTGGCTTTGAATCCTGGTTACTTATTCTTCGAATATGAAACGTTTTTCAATTTTAATTCTTTTTATCTGTGTATTTTTCTTGTCTTCAGACGTTGATCTTTCTTAAATGAATGAATTTTTTCAGTTTCTTTTTAATTTTATTCGTCTTTTTTATTCTTCTCTAGCGCACAGT